GGAACGGTGCCAGCACAGTTCCCTGTGGGGCCCCCGTACTGCAGACCAGCGTATCAGAGACACAGCCCTGTGACCTCAATGCCCAATAAAGTATGATCATGAAAATCTAAGGAGCTTAGAACTGAAGCAGCTTCTCAGATGAGAGGTGAAACGTCTTCAAGCAACTTAAGAAGTCCAGAAGTTTTTCTTTCCAAGCTCCTGAGATTATCATGACCTGGATGACTGACAACGTACACAGACTTAGGGTCAGGAAAGTGATTACAATCAATATTATTCTGTTTATCTTCTTAAAACCTTCACAGGTGAGGAAAAAAATCTAATTGATATTATACTCTAACTTAAGGTAAGATTGTATCTAATTCATTAGAAAGTTTGAGTCTTTTGAGATGTCTCCTTTTCAACAAACATCTACAATATTTTCACAGTTGAGGACCAGTTGTCACAAAGCTGATTTGAAGGGAGATGCAACCCAGTATCACAGCAAACTAGAAATACTGGTCTACCCTGTTTATTTCATACTTTGCCTCTCCAAAGCATGAAACATAAATATATGTAGAAGTTTCGGTAATTTGCTGTAAGCTCCAGTAACAGCAGAGGGAGGTATTTTGTTTCAAGGCAACATGAAAATAATTTGAATAAAAATAGTTGTGTTTTATTTATTGATTTATTTCTTTATTGATTTACTTTTTTTGATAGTTTTGTATTTCTTGCATTTCATTGCTAAAAAATGTCACACTAGTTTTATTTACATGAATACATCCTTAGATTATTTGCAAAGAATGTTTTACATACAGATAATGAACATTTATTTTCATTTTTATTTTATTTTATTTATTTATTTATTTACACACCATTTCCAGTTGTTTGGAGCTGCAAAACCTCTGAATAGCTTATATCTATGTTATGATGATCAATATCACATTTGTGTTGTTGGAGGATAAGTACGATGTTGCATATATTTAACGTTATATTTCTTGCTCTTTGAGCTAGAGAGTAATAATAAAAATGTACACATGTCATTGTAATTTAAAATGAAATTTCAAATTCAAATAAAACACATCTGCTGGTCATTTAGCTCTTAACTGTTTCCACACACAGCTGATTTGAGAGGAGCTTATCTTGAACACTAAGTTCATCATTAAACCATTATTCACCAACAGCTTACTGTGACAAAAAGAAGTTACAACATCCTGTGCGTATGCGTACATTTCTAGTCTCAGCAGAGCAAAAAACAATTTCCCAAAGACCTTTCATTACTGAGGTGCTGCTTCTGCAGTGACATCTGCTAACTCAGACATATTTTGTGGAATTCTGAAGTTCTATCTTAACTGTTTAGCAATGTTTTGGCATAGAGTGGAGAAATGAATAGAGGTAAAGGCATACAAGAGTGGATTCACTGCACTATTTATAAATGTTAGTGCTTCAACACTGGTCCAGGTGTGCTTGCAAAGCTCCAGTAGCCTGTTATCTTTCAAGAAAATAGCTGCCACACTCAGTGCATTTATGACAAGATATGGCATCCACAAGAAAAAAAAAGGTCACAATGATGTTGGTAATCAGTCTGGTGGTCCGTGGATTGCTGAAAAAGGCTCCCCGATTCACCTTTATGTAGAGACTGATTTATGAAAAAACAATGACAGACAGTGAGACAAATCCTACAAGAGTCTCCATCAACATAGCCACTTCAGCCATTTGCTCCTGGGAAAAGTATTGATTTTGGCATTTTGTCCAGTGTGAGTTTTTTTTTATTAGCTGTTGATTGATTAATTCTGGAATGGACAGGATCATTGCAACCAGCCAGAGCGGAGCCGGCAGCTTGCTTGCTTCTACATGATCTAAATTCCTTTCCAGGTACACCACCCGAACGTAGC